ATTAATTTATTATGAAAGTCTTAAATTTGAATAAAGAAATTTTTGTTTTACTATTATTTTTTGAATTACAGTCTAAAAGCATTTAGGTAAGAAACTAAAAAAATTAAGGTTAGAGTTAATATGTATTTTAAATTAACGAGATTACATTATTTTAATGTTAAAGAATTTTTAATATAAAAAGAAATTTCCTCTCATCATCTAAAATACGTATTATTTCTAAAATTTATTTTTTATATTTATTTTTTCTAAGTTTTTTAACTCTTGAGTCACATTTTTAATGGTGAGTATATATTTAAGTAATTACGACAGTAATATTTTCAACTTCATCGGATTGATTTTAAATTATTTTCTAGTATTTTCTTAAATTAAGTTTTTTTAAAATCTTTGAAGAATTTTCGAATTCTAACTCTCTTCTCTTTACACTTAAACTTAATATTACACTACAAGAGTTCATGAAATGTCAAAATAAAGTTAATAGTCTGTTTATAAGTTTGGGGAAAAAAAAAAGTCAAGTTTCCGAATTATATCAAAGTACAAAGAACTGCTAGATGGATTTGTAATATGAACTGAATTAGATTACAACTTAAGGGATGCTAAAATATATTTTAAATAAGATGTTTACTGATAGCGATTTAAAATTTAAATAGTTTAACCAATCCAAAAGCAATTAGAGTATTTTAATTTAGTTAAATTTATTTGAACCATGACGTCTTAAGTCAGTTTAATTCACTTTAACCTTTTAAGTAATTTAATTTAAGTATATCAAATCACTTTTATTATTTAGTTTACCAGTTTAATTTAATTTATGCTTTTTATTTAACCCGGGAGGATGAGTTTAATGTTGACAAATTGATATTCAAATAATGTTTTTGTACAATTTTATTGTAAACATTTATATGGACATATTCAAAAAATCATTATCTTTTTATGATATATTTAATTTTTTTTTTCTTATTATTTTTTATTTATTTTTCTAAATTATTTCATTGAATCTTCATAGCATTGAAGACAATGCGATGTGGATCCACTAGTTAAGCAATAATTAGATGTTACTCAATCCAATTAATATTTGATTAATGAATAATAAACTTTGGACACTCTACTATCATGGATAAAATGGCAAACCTTTAACAGTGAGCCTATGATAAGAGAGCCCATACGTTAATATACCAATTATTTCATATTAAAGCCAATTTTATGTTATTTAGGATTGATTTCATGAATTTTCCTCAACTATATGTAGATGAATTTTGTTTAGAATACTCTTTTGGTGGTTTCATATTGGAGTTTTTAGTGGAAATGGATCTAGTTTTCAAGGATAATAAAAAAATAAAACTTAGTTTGATTAATTTATTGTGAAAGTGTTCAAATTTCGATAAACAGATTTTCCTTCTACTATATGCTTGCAATTTTGAAATCACCATATGACAGTGTTTACATATTAATCAATCGATTACTGATCATTATAATGCTTCTTAGATTGATATATAATTAGGTTTGTTATTAATTTGACAGTGTTGGAAATAAACGCGTCAATTATATGCGAACCCACGCAAAAAGATGATTTTTAAAAAATATTCTATATACAATGTAATTATGCAGATATAAGTTAAAATTACATTTGTGGTATATTGTTGAAATAAAAAATTTAAAATCATTCTGAGTTAAGTATATGGTTGCTTGAGAGATTTTATTTATTAAATTTATGTTTTTTCCATTGTTGATAAGATTACCTTAGTTGTTTGATATATGGAAGCATGCAGGCAATGAAGTTCTGTGGCTATTTCAGGTTTGGTCCTCAATCCAAGGACTGTGGTTGGGTTTCCTAACATTCCTAAGAGCCTTCCAAACAACACTGTTACACACGAACCCTGCCCCAGAAGCTATCTGGCAAACGCGATCACCCGTTTTGATCCTTGAGTTAAACTCAAGGTAAGCCAGTTCATACCAAATACTGCTACTTGATGTGTTGCCGAATCGCTCCAATGTCTTCCTTGATGCTTCCATGTACTCCTCTGTCAGCTCCAAGTTCTTCTGAATCTCATCCAGCACTTTCTTGCTCGTTGCCAGAATGCACATATGCTCGAATGCAAGCTTGTAATCCGGAATGTATGGCTTTGTTTTCTTTTTCTTCAAGACCAAGTTGGTGAAGAAGTGAAGCTGCTCTGAAACAGGTAGCACTAGTGGCCCTAGTGTCGTTATGTTGGCTTTTAGAGCATGGCCTCCGACCTCTATGATATCTTTGCTCACATTAATCCCCTTCCTTCCTTCACTATCTTCCTTTTGATGTATGCTTTTGTAGCTTCTGTTGTCCATCCCTTTGTGAATTCGCACCAGCTGCCACATGCATGAGTCATACCTCAAAAAGCAATAAGAAGTGATACCTCAAAAAGTTTATGTAGAGTTTCACCTCAATAGCTTAACCTTTTGTCATGCTGATTATCAAAATGAAATTCGGTAGAAAAACAATACCAGAAAGTAATAATTACATCCTGTCTTTGGAAGAGATACCTGTTTGAGTTCATATTTGGCGCGCCATCTATCTAGGCGGAAATTTGAGAGCACGATGGCTGCAGCGCCCATTCTGAAGAAGCAGTTGGGAAGCTGCATTTCAATGTCATTGCCACTGTACCAGGTGGAGCTCACAGCTTCTGTGCTAACTACAAGTGCATAAGTTCTTGGATAGGCATCCAGAAGGTCTTTAGCAAGATCAATAGCAGTGATTCCGGCACCACAACCCATCCCACCGAGGTTGAAGCTGTGGATGTCATGCCTGAGCTTGAAATGATTTACTATCATTGAGGAGAGTGATGGGGTGGTGTTTAGTATTCCACAGTTTACTATCAGGATTTTGATGTCCTTCGGTTTTACTTTGGTGGCAGCAAGAACATCATTAATTGCCCCAAACATCACCATTGATACCTCTTGTCTGCCATCTTTCAGCGAGTTTCTGTAACCAGGCCGAAAAACTCCTTTTGGCAGGTAGGTTTCATCACCTATTCCGGATTTCTTGAGAACCCGTTCTTGAAACTCAATAGTAGTATCATTGAAATTCCCAGATTTTTTCGCTAGCTCAATAAACTCTGCTTTTGATATCTGCATAAATATCCCATTAGTGAAAACATGTAAAGGTTGAATGTATAGAAAATAGGCTTACCACATCAAAGTTGGAGTTTCAACTCAGTAATTTACTAGCGAAGAAAACGAAGATTTCCATTAAAGCTCAATGTAAAACTACAAATTTGATTCGACAATAACAGCAAAAAACACTCAAGTAAATGTATCTAAGTTGAGAGACTAATGGTAGCATTAAAAGTTAAAACTCATCCACTCTCTTGGTGTGTGAATTGTGAGTACTAGTTAACAAAAGGAGTGCGTTTTTCTAAACCTTGTATTCGTTCGAGGGGCGAAAGCATGAGAAATCAAGCAAATAGGTAGAGCCAGGTGTCAAGTCAATATAAAAATACAGCAGTAAGAACAAAAGGGCTGGTATAAATAGAATCTCAATGAGGCCATATTTCTCGTAGAGATCGTGCCAAGTGAACTTTGCTATACGAGCAATAAAGACTGCAAGCAGAGGTGGTGCCAGTAATAAGTACAAGCGATGGCTAATGAGATAGCCATAACCCAATTTCACATATTTTAGATTAACTGAACTGAGAAAATCTGGCAGCCTAGGCCGTACTCTCACAGAGAAAGAAATAGAGCCAGCATTTGGGCCAGAGTTCTCAACACCTCTCTGCACAATCTCAGTGGAAAAATCCTCACTTTCTTTTGACATGTGGGAAGGAAGAGTTATGTTACAGTAAGATGAGTGTATTGGTTGAAGAAAAAAGGGGTGGAAAAAATGTGTGTAGCATCTTGATAGGATATAAATATATAGGAATAGTGTTCTCTCTGAGCACCATTTACTTGGAGAAACACAGACTCTTTGGCATGGTAAATGATGCTAAGGATTTTACGGAGAATGCAAACTAAATAGGTACATTGTGCGTGAATGCGTTTGAGCAGCAGATTTACAGCACCATTGAAATTGCATGCAAGAAAGCATGTAAATTTCCATCCTCTTTTTTAGTAGTTAAATTAAAACTCCGTTGATCAACTTGGGAGCAGCATAAATATTCTGCACAGTATATAATATTGTTTCAGCTCAAATACTTTCGTTCACTTTCAATGACTTGGCTTATATGAAAGAGGAAAAATGAACAACCGAATACTTTTAAAAGAATCTGTTTTACAGTTATTAATGTGTGAGACAATTCAAAATGGAGAAAAACGGGATTCAGTGTTACATTGGATTAAACAAATTAATGTTGTTTCTTGCCATGGTGATATACGTAATTGACTGGCTAAAAATTTCAGTCTTTTAGTTGTAATTTAATCCTACCTTTTGAAATGTGACAGATAACAGACAAAATATAAGACAAATTAACAAATTACCAGAGACAATAGCCCAAAATGCCATATTGATTAAAAATTATGCAGCATCTTCAATGTTGGACAAGACAAGAAACTAGATTGCCAATTCAAACATAATGATTTTTCTTAAAAAAACAAGACCAAATTCATATGTATTAGGTATTCTGTTTGGATGGAAGCTAACGTACATTTTGTAAAAGGTAACAGGATATTGCTTTTTCGTTTGCATGTTGACAATTCATTCAAAACTATGTATTTTACAACATAAATAATTATCTGTAATATGCTATTATACTCATTAATTTAAGTTTGTACTTCTCACACTTGCCAAGGAGGATCAAGCATGATGTAATTCATGAATTAACAAGTTAGGTATGTTTGGTATTCAACCTCTTAATCCCGTCATATTACAATCTAATATAATATGTAATTCAACTATAACTTTATCCCATAATAATATTTCATGCCAAATACACTTCAATTCAATTTGTGTCTCTAATCTAAAGAAAAATACTCCTAAAGCGACTAAACAAAAACACATTTTATGTAATCCTTTCCGTTTCTTATTTTCTGGAGATGTTTGAGAACTTTTTTTTACTAGAACAATATTAATTGAACAGTTAACATGTAGAAAAGATTATCCAAACTTTAGGAGGTGAAAAGTTTGATGTAGTAAATAAAGTAACGACATTTGACCGACCCCTCTGCCACTTGTCACTCTTTGGTGTCAAAAGTGGATATGTTAACAGTTCTTTAAATCCTCTCATTTTTTCTTTCTGCATTCCTCTGGCCTCTGTTTTACACTGACCCGCTTTATCATACCATTGATATAAAAGCCATTACAATATTATTGTCTAGCAAATTTTTTAGATCACTACGGTCTTCAAATGCTTTTCACTTGTTTTTAATTCTTACTCGATGAAGGTGCCCACGGTACTATGAAATAAAGGGCATTTAAGAAAACCAGCCCAACGCTATTTCTAGGGGCTACACATGCTTTGCCATTTCCGCCCACTGTTTTACCTCTTTCTTTCTCTTATTTGAGCTGGATTCTTTCAATGGTTTGCCAATGAAAGTGGACCACATCACTTCAATCTAATTTACTCATTTTCTGTAATTTATAAATAAAATTAGTGAGTAGTATTACTTGTACAAGTCAATTCAATAACCTGCATGTTCAAAAACAACTGATACTTGTAAACAATTCATTAGTGAGAGTACCATGAAATCATTCCAATTTCCAGCCCAGATAAATCTTTGGCCAGTTTTCTGAAAAAGGAAATTACCATACGTTTCCCAAAAGGAAAAGATTGCTGCTTGGATAATGTCCCACATGAAATGAGAAAGAGGGATGTTGACATTTTCTGGTACAGGACCACTGGGGTGGAAAATTTGGTCATTCAACTCATAAAACTAATATCATGCTGCACCCTTTATCTACTTGATTCGGTGGAAACCAAGCTATAACATGAAAACGTTAAATGTTAATCTTAAATTTTGTTCATGGCGTGTTTCCTTAAAAAATGAGATAAAGGGTGATGGATGGTAAAGTTTGAAAATGTCGTAACGGTTGTAATTTAACTGTGATTCGGAAATGATACGTGACTACTTCAAAAATCTTGAGGTTATGGCAACTCTAAGATCACGCGTCGCCTGTTTGTTGACAAATCACTACATTCTTGTGATTTGAGTTCTCAGCTTACAAGTGAAAATGCTAAGTTTCTTGGTGAGGTAATATAGCTTTGCTTATTAGGTGCTGATTCAGCAACTGCTGCCAAAATTCCCACCTAACTATAATAATGTGATGGCAAAATCAATCTCCTTATTTGCTTCCTTACGTTACCAAAAATCCATAAAGTCTTTTATGATAGCTTTTGAGGATTAACGCAGATCCTTCTATAGTATTGTCATGAATCATACAAACAGATCAGTTTGGTTGCGCCAATATTTGCCTCAGAGTATAACTTATACTGATATATAATAGATTAAAGCATACCATATCTGATCAATCTAAATGGTCCATTCTGTAACAATAAAAAATCAAACTATAAAAATTGGACTCTGTAGTAAAAGTAACCAACTCTTGGTGTCAAAAATGAATCCTATTTTTTCACACAGCATGAGCTAATGAACACATCCTGTGTTGTCTTTCATGGCAGAGGTCACCTACCCTCAACCACAGATTCGGACCAAGTGGAGAGACATTGAGGAAGAGGTTACCAATATCGTGAAAAGTTGGTGTGAGGTATAATTAAAGTATTGGGAATACTCAGACAATATATCCCTTGATTTCAATTGTTGGAGCAAATAACTATCCATATTCTCAATTTCTGAATCATCTTCATCGTTCTTCCCCTCCAGAACATTCATCACTTGTCTCATTGTGGGCCTGACCTTTGGTTCAGGTAGGCACACAGCAAAACCCAATGCATAATAACCTCTCCACTTCTTGCTCACTGAACTATCCCTTAGTCCGTAATCTTTCATCAAGTAAAAAAAACAGTTGCCCTTGTACCATTAGTTTTGCCAAACCCACTCCACCAAAGGTGACTTACCTTCTCTAGAGGTCTCATTCCACACAAAACCTCCAAAAATCAAGATGCCAAACATGTAAACATCTGTCTGAGTGGAAGCTCTTCCAGTCTTGAACACTTCGGGAGCCATGTACCCCACTGTTCCAACCAATTTTGTGGTGCTAGCAACTTGACCATGGCTGTGCATTCTGGCTAACCCAAAATCCCCTAGCCTTCCATTCATATCCTTATCAAGCAAAACATTGCTTGCCTTGATGTCCCTATGCAGAACCTTAGCTTCCCACCCCTCGTGCAAGTACAAAACTGCAAAAGCCACATCTTTGATAATCCTTATCCTATCCTCATAACTCAACATCTTCCTCTCATCACAATCAAACACCCTCTTGTCCAAGCTACCATTTTCCATGTAGTCGTAGACTAACAAGAAACTCCCAACATCTTTCTTGCACCAACCTCTCAATCCCACCAAATTCCTTTGCTTCAGTCTCCCAAGGCTTGAAACTTCAGCAAGAAATTCTCGCAGGCCATCGTTTTCATGAGAAATGCGCTTCACAGCAATCTCCACCCCTCCTCTTAGAACACCCTTGTAGACTTTCCCATTCCCTCCAACCCCAATCACATTCTCCTCAGAGAACCCCTTTGTTGCTGCCTCTATTTCCTCATACACCATTCTGTGTGGCCAAAACTCCAATTCCCAATCTTCCATTTCCTGCCTCTTCCTTTCTCTCAAACGCTTCCTCTCAATCAAAACCAGTGCCAACAAAACCAAGACACAAATAACTAAGAAAGCTCCAACAGTAAAACCTGCAACAAACCCCTTGGACTTAAAAATTGAGTCCTTTGGAAGAACAAAAGACGGTAGTCCGGTAGTAATAAGTTCATCACTCAACGAAATATTCTCATTGCTGAAACTCCACCCCAAGATCTTGTGACTCTCAACTAATTGACCAGTGGCACTAGTAAACCCAACAAACATTTCATCCTCAAAAACCTCAGATAAGTTGAGAGAAACATTCAACAAAGGCCTACTAGGCCTTTTCCTACCCACCGGTGCCATGGTAACATTCATCCTAGAATCTTCGTAGTCAATCCAAACTTGGTAATTCTCACCGCTGTTAAGCGTCAATTCCTTAAAAGACCTGTCACCGTCATCTTGCCAATATCCAGAATCATTGGAAACAGAAGATTTGAGAGAGTTTATGTCAATCCCCACATGATTGGCGTTGATGTCATCGAACTCTTGGTTCATGAACACATCGAACTCGACACCAAGCACATGGTTGTTTGAGTTTCCGTTGTTGGTGAGGTTGAACAGACCAAGGTGTTGTGCAGAACTTGTGCCTTGGATGCCCGTGACAGGTGTAAAGATGAAAACCAAGCCATGTCCCGGAAGAGTGTCTTCATAAGGTGCCATGGCAAATATGAAAGAGGTGGAGAAAGGGTAGACAAAAGAAGAGTTTGGTTTCTTGGTGGGAATTTTTTCCTTGTACAAGGCACGACCGATGGAGAAAGTTTGATGATGTGTTAGTGTTAGAATTCGAGAATCGATGGTGGCGTTTCCAAAGAGCAATACTTCAGAGGAGTTGAAGCCGTTGAAGACGAAATCAATGGCACATGTGGAGTTGAAAAAGAGAAGAATCATAAGAAGTTGTGCAAGAGGATGTGCGTGTTTCAGCTTGTGTCTGTTCATGTTTTTTAGCATGAAGAAGCACAGGCTCGTGTCATGAATGGAAAGACAGAAGAGTGATTAAGTTTTAAACACTTAAACTGAAGCAGGTGTGGTTGTGAGAGAGAGAGAGGGAGAGAGAGAAAGACAGCACCTTAAGAATGTATGAAAACATGGGATTAGATTAGACGAACATGGTGGCGTTGGAAAATTCTGGAGTCAACTATTTGAACGCATTGATCGCAACATTTAGTAGTTAATTAAAATTAATGTTATTAATTTTGACAAATGACAATAAAGAAAGAAAAGATCCCAAACCAAGAATTCTAAATCCAAATTCTTCTACTTCTTAAGACATATATCATTACTCCGTATTCATATATTTCAAACCGTACGACTGAATCGGTGTTAAAACTGAAGAAGTAATCCAAATTTTCTTCTTTAGACCAAATCAAATGAAAGACAACCATATCCCTACTTCATCTCCCATGATAAAAATAAGAGGGTTGATTCTTTGAAGGAATTAGGTTTAACATTAAAATTAAAACGTTTTTATAAATAAGAAGAATCTGATTATAAAGAAAAAGGTTTGTTTTTTTAAAGGTATTTATAGATTTAACTCATAAATAAGAAAATGCGAGAATAGAGAAGGAAAAAAATATATTAAAAAAATGGAAGGAATTGACATAAACAAAAGATAAAATAATTTAATTCAATATTATAAATTATTTATTTATTCAAAGAAAATTATTATTGTGATAAAAATATCCATAGTTTAATTATCCTCACGCATAATCAATTATCATTGTTTTGTAATTAATTATATATAAATAACACTTTAAAACATATTTATTTATATTGTGGCGTAGACAAGTTCACCTACAAATCACATGAAACCATTTTCTTTAAATCTCTCCTTTTTTTAGTGAAATAGAATAATATTTTTCGTATTATTTTTCTTAGGTCATTAAAATGCACTCTGAGAAGGAAGAGCAGCGTGAGGACATTTACAGTGAGAACTAACGAATATCTTTTATCCCTTTGAAAGTTTGTGGCATGACATGTGGATAAAGCTTAAGTAAGTCGGCAGCTAAAATAGTCAATTAATTTTTTTACACATTATATAAATAATATTTTTTAATTAATTGAAAGTATTAAAAGTTAAAAATAAAAATATTGGAGCTAAATTAATAAAAGTGTCTATTATTTGTACTATTGAGCAAACAAGTTGTTGGCGATTCTTCTCTCTCTCCTATTCATGCCAATTTATCAATTTATGAATGTCTCCTTCAATGTGGCTGTCATCTTCTCACTATGCCACACTATACCACGTAAGAATAATAAAATAAAAGAAAAAGTGATTTTTTATTATTACTATATATATTATGCATAATGTGATGATGTTTGTTTCAGGAATTAAAAATTATTTCATTGAAATATAATAATCTCATATTTGTTACAAACTTTGACATGTATTCTTATATTCTTTACGACCTAGGAAATTAATTTTCCAGTGTGGCTACTTTTTAAGAAAGTTCTTGCTTTTGGGATGAGAAAGTGATATTCAAATGAGAATACTCCTGCTTGATGTTCTGTTTAAGACATCTGTAGCTTCCACTTTTATTTATTTTTTCATCTAAATTATTTCAAATATCATTTCAGAAAATAATTTTTGAATGTAAGATAAATTTTATATCGATGATAACAAAATATTAAAATATGATTAAATATGCTTTTAGGTATAATTCACCGTATTATTTGTTGCTATAACACAGTTATTAATAACAGTAAAATAACTTAGAAATAACTCTATTGTATTTGTTTATAAGGATTTATTAAAACAGCAAATACGAACTAGTCACCGGAATTCTGTCACACTAACCACGGTTTCTCAAATTTTGCATACCCTCACATTTCTCTCCTCTGTTCTATTTCCTCTCTGTTAAAGGGATAATAATTATTAAATGTCATTATAAGTTATTTAATTAATTAATTAATAATTTTATTTTCCCCCTTTCAATATGCTTTTGAAAACAAATTTTGGTTGAATGTCTCACTTTCACTATTTAATGATAAAAAAGATAAATATTTAATAATAATGTTAACTTTTTTATAATTCAATATATAATCAAAATTATTGTCAACCGATTACATTTTATTTTAAATTAATTGCATCTATTAAAAAAATTTATTCTAATTGAATAAATTTTGTTTTCTGTTAATTTTAAATTATTTTTAACTAATTAAATTTCATTTTATATTATTTTTTATCATAAATACAAATTATAATTTTACCTTTTAATCTATTAAAACAATTACATTTTATCTACAACATATCTATTACAACTTTTCATAAAAAGTTTCTTTAAATTTATTTATTTTCGTTCATCTAACTCTTAAAACAAATAATTTAATTTTCCTTTCACTGTTTTCTCAAATCCATTATTTATGGAGATTTAAATCCATCTTTAACAGCAATACAATAAAATCTAAAAGTAGTGAAAGATATTTCAAACATGAGTAAGAACATAAATCATTATACATTCGTGTGTACTAGAGAAAAGATAAAATGATATTTTAATACATGTAGAAAATATTTTTCCACCGCCTTTCTTGACCACCTGAAAATTATAATGAATGCATCTTAATATAAAGGTCAAACTGAATACTACTGCGAAAACTGCCAATCATTCAAATTATTCTCTATTACGAAAATTCAAAATATCTTTCGTCTAAAAATTACTTCTCACACTTATTTTAATGAAGAGTATAGTTAATGCGTCCTAGATTGTTTTTGTTAGTACCATTAAATTTATTTAATTTGACATTAATGAAAAATGGTAAAAACACTTCTGTAGATTATATTTTATGTCCTCGATTTCACTAATGTTTTAAAGTCATTAACATCATAATGATTTTAGAAAAAAAAAATGATACAATTTAAAAGTCTAATTTGATATAATTTTATTGAAATCGTATCAAACTAAGATGATTTCAATTAAAATTATAAAACATTATACGGAATTTAACTCGTTATACTGACCTGATATTTTCAAAATGAAATTTTATTTAAGATGACATGATTTTAAAATTATATTATTTTTGTAATTTTATCAAAATTATATCAATTTAGTACTTTTATTGATGATTTTATTTTAAAATATTGTCTTGGTAGATAAAACAACATGTTTTTAAATTACTTTTAAATTTGATTTTTAATAAATATAATATTTTACTAAATATCTGAAAATATGTATTATATTTATAGTAAAAAAGATCTGTCTTTTAAAACAAAAATATAAAATAACTTTTTCACTTTTCCCTCGTTAACAGCATAAAATTTATCTCAAATTATATTTCTTTCTTTTACTTTCATCATAAATGTAGGATGAGAATAGGTCAAGGGATAGATATACTAGTATTTATGTAAATTTGAATTTTTAGTTACTCTAATATATCTCGTGTCTTTATTCAGATGTTGTAAAGACACAGTTCCTATTGCAGTAATAAATGTCATTATTTCTATGGCATGTTTTCTTGGTCTATTGCTACCACATCGTTCTCTAGTACTATAATAAATTACATATTTTTCTTTGTAATATATTATCGGAATTGAGAAAACAAAATCCATCAAATAATAAAAACGACGTCATTTTGTTATCACGATAAAGAAAATAATCAACTTAGGAGGACACGACATATAATAGACGACAGAATATGAATCTCATTTATATTCGACAGGTTTTGTCTACATCGTGTTTCCCCATTGTAGATTTTATTAATATTCATTATATTGTGCATATATTGATATTTTTTAAAAGTAAATTAATCAGTCACAAATGTACACTAAGGTATCATTTGACATTGCGAATTTAATCCACAAGGTTTAAATATGTTTTTCTCCTCTTAACTTTCAGTTAAAATTACAATTAGTTTTTTTTTTAAATTTTGGACTAATTTAGTCTCCAAATTTTAAAAATATGTAAATTTAATTCTTTTAACCAAATTTTATTAACTTTATTTGATGTTTCAAATGCATTTGTCAGTTAACATTGAAACAAAAACGTATCAAACGGTGTAAACAACTCAAATACTATCATAAAACGCACTTGAAACATCAAATAAACTTAACAAAATTTAGTTAAAAGGACTAAATTCACACATTTCTAAAATTTGGAGACTAAATTAGGCCAAAATTTTAAGGAGAGATTAATTCCAATTTTCGCTAAAAAGTTAAGGAACCAAAATCATATTTAACCTAATTTACAAATATCTGCAATTGTATGCCTTTTAATTAAAAGTACTTCGGAGAATTATCTTTTTGTGAATAAGAAGTTTTTAATTATAAACTTATTTTTTCAAATAATGTAATTAAGTCCATGTATGACTTTATCTTTTGGTATGTCATGGTCCGCACTAATTGCAGCACTGAAGTCAAACTTACACACACTGCTGTTAATCATTTCTTAAAAGGCCAATTATAGGTTAACATAAATTTTGTTGATAACATTTTGATATATTATATATCTTTTTTTAATTAAATATATGTTAGTATAATAATAAATTAATAAAAAATAATACGTATATTATATTAAAATATTGTCGAAAATTTAGTATAAAAGTATATTTTTCAAAACATTTTCTGTTTACCCTCTTTCACCTTGTCACTGACATGTATGGGCCATTCTTTTATTATATACAAGAAATTAACACAGCCTTCGTCTCAATCTTCATTTTTTATAGAGTAAAAATAGCATGACATACATAAATACTCATTTGACATACTTAACAAAGATAAAATAATTTTAAAAAAATAAACTTTTGTAATTTTTCAAAAAAATAAAAAGTTAAAAATAAAGAAAAACAGTATCAAAATGAATATAAAAAAAGTTATGTGTGGCAAAGTATCATTTATTTTTTCTATACTTAGTTAAGGCAGTTTTAGCATTTCTTTTCATAACATGTTTAAATAAATTACTCCAATAGGTTTAATAGACTTTTTCTTTACAAAATCTTGAAAATGACTATATTTATTTAAATAGATTTTTTCAAAACACCTTAACAATACTTTAATAACAAAAAAGTCAAACCAGATTTGATTCAATGAAGTTAGGTAAGAGATGTCTGTTCTATTATCAATACACAACAAGAATGGACAATGCTTGCAATAAATACAATGAGCTTTAGTTGTTGGTCTTTTCAAACTCACTTTAAACTAAGTTGAAAGTACTTTACGAAATCACCACTGACATAAACATGTTTGTTACTCTCAAATATATATGTTAATTGGT